ATTTTGCCTAAGGTCCAGACAAGCCGTTTTAAATCAGTTTTTATCAATAGATGTCTTTTCAATAGTAATTAATACCTTTTCTTTTTCCTTATTCATTTTATTCATGTTATTCATGTTAATTGTAACACGTCTGATTGCACAATAATTCTTAATAAAGACCTTTATTATTAATATTATTCTTAAAATTCAGAAAATTCTATGACAGTTAGGTCATGGCTGGTCTCCTATGCGTCACGAGTCTTGCATTACTGGCATCTAGGGGAAACTCGAGTACATTTTTAAACGAATCGCAACAGTTATCAGAGACCGTCCTCAAAATTTTCGAACCCTGAAACCTTTAGACCTTGGAACCAACGGGTGCAGCCAGAATCCTGAGTTAGTTTTCTAACATTCTATTTGGAAAGGTCACCTGGACCACCACCTGCACGGGGTTCACCGACTGTCAGAAGATTTTTTCGCAACAGAATGTTCAATGAAGGATATAACAGTGAGACTATTAATCGTTTTGAGAGAAGTCCTGGAAACGACTTTTGTTGGTGATAGTGAAAAGGGGGTGTCAGCTGTCTTGACCGTTAGTCGTAAAAAAAGTTAACCCTAAAAATTTTCCTTTCCACGGTGTCATTTTGTGCCATAACCTGAATCATATTCAATTCAGAACTTGTTTGTCAGTCTGGTGGCTCAAACCTCTTGATCATCAAGCTTCGCAGTATTTTCGCGACAAAAAATGAAAACAGTGACTCCGTAGGTAAGTGTTCCTTCTAGCTTTTTGAAATGTCTATCGATGTATTTAAGGGAAGAAATAAAATGTTAGGTTAAGGTTCAATAATGGCATAATGTCTTCTCTCAGTAACAGTGGTGTATCATTAATAGATTGTCCAATAGCTTTCTCAAAACACTGTAAGACCAAACGCAGTGGTGGAGTTGAACCGAATCTAATCGAGAAACAGTGAAGAATAAATGTTCGACTTGATCCTTGAACTCCGTCAATTTTGTCTCGATCTGTACAATCCGATTCGTCTGACTAGATGATCTGGGTTAGTTTGAGCTTAATCGTAAGATCTGGGTTAGTTTGAGCTTAATCGTAAGATCTGGTTTGAAACATTTGTAGACCAGATGGAAACGTGACAAAAAATAAAAACGAACCGTCAACAACCAACTAGAGCACATAGTCCATACTGTAATATGCAAAGTTAACCCAGTACCGCGCGAGTAGGGCAAAAACTGGATATAATGTATTGCAATTAACAAACAGGCTATTACACCTCGCCGACAAACGATACCGCTTTGCTTACTTAATTTACCCTCTTGATACATATACAGCCTTGTAAATGGACAAAGTACATGTATTTAACGACAAGCCAATCGAACAGAACTCCGCAATTTAGTTTATCAGAGAACTTGAAGAGGACGGAAAACTTTCTTTTCTAAATTGCCTGGTAATGGCAGTGATGAGTACAACATGTGCTACTACAGTTGAAAGAGAGCTGACTTAAATACGCTACCAACTCATTTCCATAGCTTATCTATTGACCACCTTTAATTGTGGAACAGATGTCAAGACGCCGAAAATTTTATATTTATTTTCATTTTTGCGTTAGTTTTGCGAAAAAGAATGAAAGGGCAACTCAACTGAATGAGACATGATGGAAGAATAACTCGGATTTCTGCGTCTTTGAAATTCGAAAAGTTGTCTCAAACTTCCTTCATGCGTTTGTACTTTTCAAGGAGCAAATCTTCACCAGTCAGATAAGCTCAGTAGATATTCAACATTTACAAGCCGTGCAATTTGTACATCTGTCGTCTAAGGATATACACAAGCTACGATGATAACGTTTTGCAGGTTGAAACGTCGTACGAGAAAGTATACAGCAAAGAAGGAAAATCCTTACACACACTAGATACGCGAAAATGAATGACACAAAGTTGCGCTTGATTTCATATCCTTGCGTTTAATTTTCTCACCAACTTTAATCTACAATTCAAATAGCGTTGAACTTTGAAAAAAAAAATAACTAAGCCATTAACTTAGTTGCCTTGAACTTTAATTCCATGTAAATGATACTGTATATTAAAAAATTTAAACGTTTTCTTAATTGTTCTGATACCCCAGACGTAAAGTTAATCCGGCCCTGCAAAAAAACAATGTTTTACTGAAGCAAAAATAAACTATATGGCCAGTGACTGAGTCTGAGTAAAAGTTTTTGATTCAGAATTGCTTCTATCGTTATAAAGGCTCCACTAACAAAATAGAATTTGAAGTCTATTTCTACGAATTTAGTTCCCTTGACTGATGAGCCATAAGTTTGCTTACAAATCGTCAAAATATACTCTGGAGATGCGTGCCTATTCACACTTTGCAAAACTAACCCTCTGCGAAATAGTAAATTGTCAAGGGGAAGTTTTCTCAGTCCTTTAAACTGGCACTTACGTCAATGTAAAATGTGGAAGTAAGTCAATTGTATCTTTCACAATACTTAAAAAAGTGATGATTCAAATTTCTTCCCTGGCAAATGTCGCGATTCGCCTTTACGCGGTTATGATTTGTGGCGCCCTATTGAACACAAACTTCCATTGTACGTTAAATGTTTCTTTTTTTGTCCCTAATGCAGGGAATTAATACCTACAGGATATGTGCATTGTCGTCAAGCCCTTCGTCATAATCCGTTTCCCGTCAGCCGCGACCGAAGTCATTTCCTAAGTTTTTTTTAGAAAAATTAAAATCTTAGGAAATAGATAAATATAATAGTAATGATACACGAAAAAGCTGCAGAAAGACTGTCTGACAAGGAAAGTTTAATTGTGGGAGAAAACAAATTAAACAAAATCCTACATATAGACTTGAAACTGGAAAAAAGGACTTGCGTAAAGGTACATACTGATGCGTTTGTCCACACCACGAACGTACGAAAGATAATCGATCAAAGGCTTAAAAAAAATCGCTGCTCACCGTGTTCAACCATTAGGCTATCAACCCCCTAGATCGCTTTCACAGCTTTCTGTTCTTCTCTTTTTTGTTGTTGTTTGTTTCTCTTTTTTTTACCCAAACCAACGGGGTCGCTTTCACATAAGGGAAAGCGAGGAAAAAAAAACCTGGCCATACGAATACGAGATATCAATTTCTACTTTTTTTTTTTTTTTTTTTTTCTTTGATAGGTTCCAGCGGAAGGCTATAGTTTTTTTCCCGTTAGTGCATGTGTAGGCGTCTGGATAACTAGCAGAACTCCTTTTACATTTAGGACTTTATTCATCTTTATCGTATGGTTATTATTTTGCTACGATGACATTATCTCTAATATGCTTGCCAGCTTGTTTCCATCAAAATTATACTCCATTTTACCCTCGAGACATTAGAATCATTTTAAAGTAATTGACAAGCAAAACCTTTTAATGTTGCCCCTGAAATTGACATTTAATAATCCAATGTGAAGGGTACTAAAAATCTACCAACAGGAGCTCCGCTCTTGACCATGGCTCAATTAATCTTTTTTTTTACCTTTTGAGCCAAGAGAAGATAAAATGGAATACCACGTGGGATTTATAAAGGGCAATTTGCAGAGTCCATAACCTTAAGATTATACCTTTGTTTTCCACAAATTAGATAGTGATGTTGTCTGGAAAATGTTTCATTTTTCCTGAGTACGCGAGAAAGGTGGGTGAATGAAAATGAGAAAGTGAGTTGACAAAGTGATGTGAATGCTGTGAACGATCACAACTACTCTCATAACATGTTTGATCACTCTGTACGTGTCGCAGAAATCAAGCGACACGAGACACGAACTTATTTTCAGGGGAAGTAAGACAAACGTGTTGCATGCAGGCGACAATGATTGTTATTTTTCAACAAGTTCAAGTTATGCTGTAAATCCTTTGTGGTTTGAAATTGTTCTTAGTGTTCGACCAATCCAGATCATAAATGGTATAGCAATTTCCGAGACTGATCTTTCTTTCTGTCAAGCACGATTGCGGAGGAAGAACTTCTTCCCCAAGCTCGGTCGTCAACACCCCCGCCTTTCGTAATGAATCAAGGCAGCTGTATCAGACTAAAGTTCACAATGCGTAGATAAAAACTCGGAACATTATGCATGTGAGCTTCATTTATATTTCTGTAACAATACAATGTTTGTTTTTTAAGGCAGTCGCCGCTAAACCGTTTCTGTCAAGGAGCATTCTGAGCGTATTTTCATAAACGAAGCAATGCCGTGAACTTTAATGCTAATATAGGGACGAGTAAAAAATGGTTCTCAAGTTAATTACGAAAGAAATGAAAAGGGTCCTTGTGCAAGTGACTGACTAATGCAACACGGTGCTTCTGCATGCAATTATTAGAATTAGATCGACCTTCCTTTTTTCCACCTACATTGAACCAAAGCGATTTCAAATTGGTTCATTTTGACGTACGGAATTAAAGATCATTGTAATTTCTCTAAAGCGACCTACCGTGAGGTGGGAAAATTGGGCATGTTGAAGGTTGAATATAAAATTGCTACTTAATTCAAAAGAGAAGGACATTAAAATTTATCAGATATTTGATACCCTACCAACAAAGGACTCGCTAAAACTGTGGAGGAAAAAAACTTAAAATTCTACTATTCACGAGTTCCGCACATTAATTCCGACTGTTAAAATAGCATAAAATAAATTACATGCACTTATTCAACCTAGCCACATGACAAAACGTGGTTAAGTGTTTTTTCAATAGCTGCCATTAACTACGGTAAAAATAGTCCATCAATGATTGTGACCACACTCTACTAAGATCTACTTCCCGGCAGATGGTGTTTTGTCTTGTCAAGAACTAACATAAATTAATTTCACAGCTATAAAATAAACGCTTGTCTGATAACAATCTATTCGATCGATCGGAGCTAGCGAGGTAATTAGAGAAAAGGAGGTTCCGTTGTTGATAAAGCACAATAATCGGTAAGTAACCGGCTATTTTATACATTATTACCAAGTAATGTTGTTCATCCCTACCTAATGTAAGCGAAACTATGCCGATCTGAGGCTTGCATATTGTTCTTTTTTTTAACCTGTCGTGGAATATACAACGTTGTGCAATATGTTTCTAACGTAAACATGCAAAGAATTCCATTGTTCCTGTCACTGTTTCTCATTTCATTTATTCAATGCCTGTTCATCAACCTGGCTCGGGCTTGATATCAGATTTTGAAAAAGGAGAAGATCATTTTTTTAATCAGGGAGAGCTTGAAACTGCGATGATATTCAAGCTGGTGTTGTTTGCACTTTGACTGACACCTTGTTTTGTTCCGCTCTTTCCCGTGTTTTCAAACTTGCGAAGGCCGAATTAACATAATTTATTTTAGTTTGTGCGTGTATGAGAGCAAGGTTTTATTCAAAGCGTTCATTCGACCATTTTTGTTTGTTAGTCCTTTTATCCTTAAGTCTTTTCAAATGTGGACTCGAGTTTTAAGTTTTTTTAACTTAGTTGTATAATCCACTTCTATTCAATGTTATATCATCTGTCAAGCGCGGAAAAAGGAAGCCAGGTTCAGCGAAGAGTTTAAGAACCTGCTTGATGCTTTTCTCTAAGAGGTTTAAGATGTTGTTAATTTGGCTTCTTTTGAATTGGTCGTCGTCAATGGAAGAATGGAAATCATTGGCCATCAATGAGCTTATCATTTAGTGTGTAAAGATCTGAAGAGTCCATTTTACAGTGACATGCTTGGTTGCCAAGCCTTTGAAGCCTTTGGAGTGGGGTTAATAGGGTGATGTTGTTATGATGCAAACATTGCTGCTTTTCAAATGTACATTACTTTGTTATTATGCTAACTAGACGCTTCAGCCTCACTTTACTCAAAGGTTTGGTAACTAAGTTCACAACCGTAAAATGGCATATTACGGTGGAGTTATTGTTTGTTTAAATATGCAATTATTTCCTCGTGCCCTCCGACCTGATCATGTGACCCATGATCTATGATAAGTCGATCAACTGATGTGGAAAAAATTTCCTCGATTAAATTGAATTTCTATCGATTGTAATCGGCTCAGAGTGAATTCTGCCTTCTTGAACTCGAAGGTCCTTGAATGTTGGACAAAAATGTGAAGAGTTTTAGACACGATTTGCATGTCTATCAATTTCGGCGGAGCAAGCTATGCTATCGAGCAGCAGATACCGATGAAAACTTAAAAAGATCCGATCCTCAGGCAAAATTTTCAAGAAACAGCTATCCGATGTTTCCATTAAGATGCTTTTCCCCTCGAGTAGTATGTCCCGACTCATTCGATCAAAATGCATTTCGCTACGTCTGATTTTCTAGTGCGTAGAGATTCATTTCCGCAGTCAAGATCCAAATCCTACGAGAAGTACATGGAAGCTTCACCGAATCGGCGTTAAAATTCGATCAGGACTTTGATTTCGCATTTATCATATCCAATCCTGCCTTATGATAAACAAAACAAAAATAGACCAATCACAGAAAGCATGTGCCCTTACGGTTTATACGTGTCATTTAGGAATACACGTGCAATTAAAAAGCCATTTCGGAGATGCTTCGGCCTTCTGTCTCAAGAGGGTAGCAAAGACTGTATGCGTTACACATGATTAAGCCTTAGAGTGATACGTGACACGTGAATTTTTACAGAAAGGCAAGGTAAAGTGAGATTTGAAGTTTTCCCTTTGAAATTCGAAATATTTTTTAACTACATTTGACTGGTGAATTTTTCTTGATACGTGAATGCGTGCGCGAGACAAGATCAGGCTCTCACCCCCACTCCCTTTCCCTTTACCTTTCTCGTTTGCTACCCTTACTCAAAGCCAGGCTAGGTGCAAATTCTTTGATGATAATACTAGTTGTTGTTTACATGTAATGAAATTCATATCGTAACATTCGTGGTAAATAACACACTAGTAAAATAGAAATGTAATCGCTCTTGTGGTTACCCATCGTGGCAAATAACATTTTAAAGAGAAATGTAATCGTTTCTCTCACGATGTGGTCACTTGATATATGGATCGCGACGTTTCGACTGCACACTGTGAGTCTTCTTCAGGTGATGATATCGACCGAGTATTAATAAGACACCGACCACCAACACTGAACACCCCACCGAGTTCACATCCACCGGTGTTCTACCCTACATCAAAGACCTCTCGGAAACAAGTTCGTCGCTGTTTACAACAACAAGGCATACCCGCTGTTTTCAACTCAGAGACTGCTACGATCACATTTTGTGCCCCCAAAGGATGCCGTCGACCCGACTAAACAGGATGGCGTAGTCTACAGGATTCCCTGTGAGTGCGGAAAAGTTTACATCGGCGAAACTAGCAGACCTATGCTAGAGAGAATTAAGGAACACTACAGGGATATCTGACTCGTTAAACGCAGACCTCCGCCCTCTCAGAGCACTCCCACAACACTGAACATTGCCTGGTCTGGAACGAAGTAACGTTTATTCATCGTGATCCCCATTTCTACACATGCAGGGTAAACTGAGAGGCAATTCACATAAGAATTCACCCCAACAAAATTAACAAGGACAGTGGAAATTTAAATCGAAGAGATTTAAATTTCTGATCCGAAAGATGCACCAATCACAGCAGTAGAATTGCATCCAACCACAGCTGAGCGCAAGGTGACGCGTTAAACGCGCCGATCTCATCGCCTGAAGAAGGTTTGAAGTAACTGCATGCATTCGAAACGTTGCAATCCGCATTTCAATTAACTGCATCGTGAGACAAACGATTACATTTCTCCGCTAACTAGTACACTTAATGTCACTATAAGGTAGGGGTTTTTGGAATTTGCAAATGGCTTCTTGGTTCTTATCAATGTGACTCAAGAAGTGTTATACAAAGTTGTATTTTTGGGGTTGATTTTTGATTAATTGTCTTTGATAGAACGCCAAGTAACATTCTGTATATCTGGAGGCCCCGAGTCTTCTTTAACTTTAAGAGGGGATACCAAAAACATTAGTGTTTTGGGTACAGGGATACCAAAACCTCGGGGATACCCAAAACACTGTGACAGCGGGGCAAAAAAAGACAGGAGGCTTTGATTTGGCCTTGGGTCGCATGAAGGCGCGTCGTTCGCTATTTTGCTCCGTTTTACAAACTAAACGCCTGGGTAGTCTAAATGAAGCTGGAACGTTAACAGTCATAATAATCTGTGAATTTTTGTTTCAGATCATGACGAACTGTAAACTTGCACTCTTTCTTGCCGCGATTTTTATCATACATTGTGCGTCCTCCGAGGGGCTGTGTGTTAGTGAATGTCACTCTGACGCTGTATTATGTAGGAATAAATGTACGGACCAGCCGTGTGCTAATATCTGAACTTCTAAAATGAACGCATGTTTCGCAGCTTGTCCAAGTAGCGACCCTAACCGCGATGGTCAAGACAACGATGATGAATTCGAGGAGGTTTTTGAAAAGTAATGTTATCTAAATACAAGGAATCCCGAAGTACTTTAGACTGTTGTAAACTGATAAAATATTTTCACTCACCAAGGAGAACAAAAAACTGATACTTTTTGAAAAATTAGGAATTCGACGAGCAAGCTAAAGTTTTAGCTGTTAGCCAGTTGGGAAGTGAAATTAACAAATCTATGCTGTTGTAACATTGCATATTAATAATAAAAATGTGTGTGTAAAATACGATGCTATCTGGTATCGACAGCTAGCAACTCTAAATATTCAATGTCAAAAAAGTGTTTGCTTAACTGTAAAATAGTAAACACGCAATCAGTTTTCCTTTGTGTACGTATCAACCCTTTAATTAGAAGAAGAACTTAGAAGAGAGAGAGAGGAACTAACTTTTCTCTCCTCCAGCTCCTACACAATCCCTTGTAAATTTGTTACAAGAGTTTGGTTTTAGATTTAAGATAACGATTCTACCTGAAAAGTTGAAGTATTCTTGTTACCTGTTTGCTGGATAACGTATGGATATTATAGGAGAAGTTACATGTTAATCACTCCCGGGATTTAACTGGGGCTAATAAACAATTTCCTCATTATTTGTCTCTCGCCAAGTCCTAATTGTGTTCCATTCTTAAATTTATTTTTCATAATCAAAGACAATTTTTCAAAGCCTTTAACGGAGAGAGAGGGAGGGGGTCGTAGTTTTTGGGCGTTTCGCAATGAAATTTTCCGAATCCCCCCATTAAGGCTTTGTAGTTTTTTCACGATACCCCCTAACTGGCAGTCAATTCTTTATCATCCTTTCTTCGATCTCTGTTAGAGACGAATGGCTCGTGATTGGATTTCAAAAGATACTTTCAATTGTGCAGTGGTGAGGGGTCATTGACGACAATTTGTGGTCTACAAAATATACAAAAGGCAGTTGATGTAAGGAATAAAGGCTGATAGTTTCTAAAGGAACTATTTGGGGCTGCGTCGGTGGGGGTAAAGAAATCATTTGGATATATCAACAAAGCTGAAATGGTAAAGTGGCCACCGTAACGATTATAAAAGCTGAAGTTTCGAGCGTTAGCCCTTCGTCGGAGCGAATAGAGGAATTGTGGGTTGTGTGTGCTTTTAAAGGCAGAAAATGGAGCTACGTTATTGGTGGGAACATGGCAACATTTTCTCGTTGCCATGTTTTTATCCTAGCTTATTTTTATTCTCTGACTGTGATGTTGCTTTCAAGCGACCAAACCGTTATTTTGTTACTCCTTTGTTGGTTTCTTTAGGAGCTCAGTGTTGGTGACGTTGATCGTTGTAAAGGATGTAGTCACCATCTGCTTCATGTTTGTTATGAACAAAGACAAGTCATCTCACAGTTATCAAGAAATATTAGACGCACAAGGTAACCTGTCTTGATCACTCACTTTGTTACAGTTTCAATTGCATATTTGTTAATATCACCGCCTTATTTTCCTTACTAACGACTTGAAAGTTAAGGTATGTCACGAGCCTCGCATGTGTCGAGAAATAATGGGTTGTGTTACTTTGTAGTAACATTTTTTGATTCAGNTGTTTTTCTCGTTGCCATGTTCCCACCAATAACGTAGCTCCATTTTCTGCCTTTAAAAGCACACACAACCCACAATTCCTCTATTCGCTCCGACGAAGGGCTAACGCTCGAAACGTCAGCTTTTGTAATCGTTACGGTGGCCAATTTACCATTTCAACTTTGTTGATATATCTAAATTAGTTGATGTAGTGGTTGCGTGCATTCAAATTACAAGTAAAATAAGTTATTCGTCGGGGTCTTTAGAGGGCCTCGCAACATATCGTGCTATTCGCGGTTTCCCGGTTGTAATTTTTGCACTTGAGTTTACACGATTATTTGATTTGAGATAATCTGTATACCTCGTCGATTACCCTTTATTTCCAATATTTTCACATAACTTAAGCAACCACGAATGTTTTCAATCCTATACGTTCAATTTATTTTACATCCGAAACAAATAACTCCGTTTCATGTGTACAATGACTAAATTTTGTCTGGTGTCACATCGCGAAGGTAACTTTCCATCAACGACAACAAGATAAACGGTGTCCGCGCCAGATATATCGGGCATTCAACAACCTCATCCTTAAAAACTTGGATTAAAGCAGAATGTAATATTAACTTGCTATCTGAAACTTTGTTGACGCGTGAAAGCTGTTATTTATTTTTTATGTAAACACTAAAGATGTTTGTGGGGAAAAACTTCCTCTTATTTTTCAGTCTGATTCATTCTATGCAAACAAAGGTAAACTGAATGATTCGTAAGGTGACAGTGAGCTTATTTCTTATTTGCCGTGAGGTTTTTCTTATTTTACCGTAGGAAATTTTCTTTCGCCGTGAGTAATTTTCTTTTTACCGTAGGGAATTTTCTTTAGTCGTGAGTGTTTTTCCTTTTGCCGTGGGAATTTTTCTCTTGCCGTGAGTCTTTTTACCGCGGATCTATGTCTTTTTCCGTGACAGTTATGGGCAACCGCATGGATTCCTGCTTTTCAATCTTGAGGACAACGCTGATTGGGCTTAATGCTTTTCTAGTGGCTATTTGTTAACATTAACTTGATGATACATTCATGTAGCTTGATGAAAAGTTCATTTGGAACATAGCTCTTGACTGTCGAAGAAGTCATCAACCATCTGACATGGAAGAGTAATTATTTTCTCTCGTTTGAGATAAGTTGGACTGCCTGAACAAAAGAAAAAACAAAAAGGTCCGTGTAAAGTGACACGGCTTTCAAAACTGTATTGGCAGGTGTACTGTATAAGCAGAGTTTACACTGTGTTATAAAGAACATATCTTAAATTCGTCAAAACGTTTAACAGCAAAACAAGTAGTTTAACTTGGTAAGATTCTTTATGTAGGCTAAGCCAACACTGTCGAAACTTTCTGAAGAAAAATGAATTCGGAGGAGGACTCAAGAGATACTGGAGCAGTCGTTATTCACACTTCAATTCTAGCTTTCGCAATGGTCTTGTCATTCATTGGAAACACGTTCATTATTTACGCGTTGTACAGAAACAGAAGACTACGCACTATAACAAATTTCTACGTCGCATCGCTTGCGTTGGTCGACATGATGATGGCTATGTTAAGCTTTCCTTTCCAAGTGACCGCCTCTGGACTGCGAAAATGGATTTTTGCACACAACTTCTGTCAGCTCACTGGTTTTGTAGTACAATACTGGGTTCAAGTGTCACTTTCCATTCTGACTTTAGCCTCACTAAATCGATACTTCTGCGTCGTGAAACCAAGTAAATATTCATTGCTATTCACTCGAACGAAAACTGTAACTTCATTACTAGGGGTCTGGATTATACTCTGTGCTGA